CTCCCCTTCTTTTTAAATAGAAAGTTCCTTAATCCTTCCAATAGTTCTTACAATTGTGCTTATTACATATTGAGATTGAATTCTCTTACCAATTGTCTGCGGTGAAGTTCAAAAGGATATGTTGCTATAGCAATACTTCATGTTGATTCAGAAATTAATGATAAAAGAAGTGGCAATTAGCACTATTAATTTTTACTAGAGAAACATGGGGAAGTGCTAAAAGGCTTCTGGCCCCCAAAATAAAAAAAAACAAAAAGGCAGTAAAATTTTGCATAGGTGACTATTATAGAGCTTGCAGCTATAAAAGCAAGCATAATGGATATTTCATGCTTCAGTACATGAAGCATGAATATTGCTGCCTTAATAGCTCGAGACAGACTCGGCCTCTGCTGTGTTTCAGGAATTCCCAGAAGACCACAGGGATGTGTCTCCTTTCAGTCATAACGGAACCCTGTGGGACAAGCTCCTCTACAATAGTATCAGGAAGGGAAATTGAATACTTTTCTCTGCAAATTTGACGCTGTTCTTTGAGCATTTTGCAGGGACCTTCTTTTGGCATTTTTAGTGAATGAAAGTATGTTGCTCCAAGATAATGACCTGCTTATTCTCATCCTTGATTAACAGCCATGAAGCAGACAAGTGTTTTCCAGGTCACACAAAACCAAAAGAGGTAATTCATTTTCAGCACCAAGACTGCTTATCTCTAATTATCTCACCAAATTATTTGGTTTTGTGGTAGCCCAGGACCTTCTGCATGGTATTTAAGGTCTGAGGTTTTTTTAAAGGCTTGGCTTGTTATTTCAATCCTATAAAGGATATAGTGTGGCTGTGCGTGACTGTAGTACAAGGCAGAAGAAAATGGAACGCTTTGCTTCTTCAGTATGTATTTAGTGAGGTTTTTCTTAATGTATGATTTGACAGCCTTAATAATGTATTTCCCGCTATTAGAATCCCACATAATTACTAAACTCAAATTTCCTTATTTCATAATGAAATAATGGAGGCTTTTTATAAATCCTTGTGGATGATAGATAGCATTTTCCCCCTTCAAAACTGTCAGGCTTATTTCCTTTAGGTGCTACAGCTGATACCTCATATCTTCATGCAGGAATGTCAGGAGGCTTTCTTAAAACCCATTAATCCTAGATGCTGGGAGGGTCTTCTCCTGCTTATGAGAAGGACAGACAAGAATAATGAGCCTGCAGGACAATGTATGTTGTCTGGACTTTATACATTTCACCTGAAAAGTTGTCCCTCCATACTTCACATGAAGCCTTAAAAGGTCCTCAGCATCTGGCTCCAGTACACCTAATGCTGTCAAATAAGGTAGTAATGGACAAAATGTTACACACAAACACAGCTGGAGCTCAGCAGGTAACCAATATTGTACAAAGCCCCTTGGCCAACCCCTGGCACCAAGATTAGATTGTTTTCTTTAAGAGAAGAGATGTACATACAGAGACATGTCCTAGTAGCTTCAAACATATTTTTAAATCTCTTCCTTCCAAATTTCTCAGTCATCTATGAACTTATCTGTAAGAGGTAAACTTTTGACTTTTTTTAGTTCAAAGCTTTGTAGGCCATAATTAATCTTCTTCCCACAGGAGTGAAGAAGGACAGAGTGTCATCCAAATAAGATGAGAGGTTAACCTTACACATCATCATCGCACAGCCTTCCTATCCAGAGAGGAAAAGGAAAAATAGAGAAACATGTATCATCATAGAGCAAAAGTCCATCAACTTGTTGAACGTAACTCAACAATCTTGGAAGCCCCCAGTCACATTCCCTACCCCGACAAGAACTCTCCACAAACTAGCAGAGCAGCCACAATCTTCTGGAGACCAAGACTGGGCCTAATGCCCACAACAGAGAATAGACAATTTATCAGATGTTTGGTGTGCATAGAATTCTGATACTGTGGCTAAAATGCTATACTGCACTGAGCTAAATGAACAAAACTTTGAATTTGCTTGCAGGAAATTGTTTTAAATTAAAAAGGTTTTGTTTACTCCATCTTAACCAAGAAAGCATAGAAAACAGAGAAGGAAAGGTAATGGCATTGACAAGTATCTGTATTTCAAATAATACCCAGGAAAACATTTTCTGATAATCCATACTGAAGCTGTACTATTAATTATTTCTCTGTAACTATCTCTATCAGGATTAATTTAGACAAGTATGAAACCATCTCCAGCTTTCATTACAGCAACCAATTATTTATCATTTGTAATATAACTGGCCTCTTTTTTTTTCCCAAAGATTTTTCAACCGCAGAAAAGACTCTGCCTTCAGTTTGCAAACATTTTATAAAGAAACTCACTTAAGCCTTCCCTCCTTTACACAACAGATGCCTCCAGCATGAAATTTACTACATACTTCGAATATGCGAGGGGATTAATCGCTCATCGTTGTCTATTTTACAGTCAATAATTTCAAAATTTTATATTCCCAAGAGTGGATTCTGTCTTTGCCCTCACTGAATCTCCTAGCCAGAAGTACATGGACAAGGTTGCATTCTGCTGGCACTCAACCAAGGCACAAGAAATAGAAAATATTGCAGCCTTATCCTCTCTTAAAACAAAAATAAGACATAAATAACTCCTTAGCATGAAGTCTTAATCTAATCATGGCACACGAAGCTTATAGTAAATTTATTTGTGTTTTGCACTCCAACACCATCAGGAGCACAGCCTGACATGCGCTGCAACACTGTGGGGTGGACTGGGAGGCACAATTTTTGCTTGTAGAGGTGATGGACACTCTCCCAGCACCACTGACAGTTTTACACGTACAGCAACCATGCAGCCCAGCAGAACTGATATTCTTCAATAGAAAAAGACACATAAAGTCACAAAGAAAGTAGCAAGATTGTTGAATGGATATGTGAAACAGACAACTTTTGGTGTTACCAGGCTCCTTCTTTTTATTTCAAGCTTAGAGATACATTCAAACATCTGTCACCTATTCACAAGCTACAATACTTAAATACAAATAAGGATACTGAGATGTCATTGCATATCATCCCCCACATAATCCAATAGATACTGCTCCTTATTTTAAAAATTAATTCTATATCTTCAATAAATAAGAATCTGCCATTACAGCAAAAGATACCATTAGTATTAGCAAACCCTGCAATCATATTTCATACTAAACTAAGCAGCCATGGGTTGACATGCACTGAGCAGAGCTTTCATTGCCTTCAGATATTGCACAGATACTTTGCCTCCTCCTCGGAACACCATCTCCTCTTAATGGCAAACAAGACGTAATAGGATAATGAACAATATTAATTAAGGTCATCCAGATCACTTCAAATGTTTTCCTGGTGTCAAGCACCTTTTGCACCCCTTCCTTTTTGAGTCACATAACACTGCGTAAGCACAGTAATTGCTGGCACAAAGTACACAATTAGGCTGTCTGCTACAATGAAGACTGAGGGAGAATGGAAGATATGAACATAGGAACCATAACACTGTAGTATTCATGGGGAAGAAATTTCCAAATTAGTCATCACAATATTTTCTTTAGCATTTCAGGATTTGACCCTGAAAACACTCACGGCATTAAGACTAAAACCCAAATACTAGTTCAATTAAGGAAGGTTGGATAGTTTTAGAGCAGCTACTATAGGTTTAGAATGAAGAGCGCAGTAAGTGTGACAATTTTTTAGACCAGCTTACAAATTAACCAACACACTTTACTCCTTAACACTAATACTTAGAACTGTAATTTAAGGCACCATTGAGCACTGTGTTTATGATGTTTCATATGGTCATGGTTGGTTTTCACTGTGAAAACCTACCACTGAGACTGCTGCTCTAAAATTACTTTAATAAGCTGTTGGATGCAGACTATACTGCTATAAGCAAGATTTTTTTTTCCAGTAACAATAAGAAAAATGCACTGCACTTGACAATATACAGATGTATGATATAACATATGCAATCAGCCCCCTCCAGAAAGTTACTATTCATCTACTCGAAAATGAGAGGAATTTACACCTCACAACAGTTTCTGTAATAAATAATGTTAGGTTCTATTTCTTTTGAAATAAACGTGAAAATGTACGAAACTGAATTTCTGGTTTTGTTGGCATAGTGTATCCGGTAGAAGATGAAAACTTGCAACATGTTTTCCTATAGGTGCCAGTAAGTCAGATGAATTTCATACTGGATTATCCCTGGAGCATATTTCATCTCTTTGTTACTAAAATCCAGCAAAACTGCTACATCCAAAACAGTCCAAGAGAATTGTTTTCAGTGTTTCAGCTCAAGTCAACAGATTCTTGTTCCCTGTTGCTGGAGTTACCCTGTTAACAAGCACATGACACTGAAATAAAAACACTTTGAATGAGATTCAGCACTGGTCTTCGTATTGCTCTACAGGACAATAATGTTCACATAAAAGCTTCTGGTAATAACAGGGCTATTTAAAAACAAACAACCCAATGTATCTGTTTTTTTTAAAAAAAGAGAACACAAAACACACAACATCAGAAAACCCTACAATACTTCTTCCATGCCGTGGAAAATTGCTAATGTATGAGCAACGTGCTTGCTTCCAAGCTGAGGCACGTTTCCGAAAGCCATCAAACCAGGCTTCCATTCCAAAAACAGCAGCATTCCCTACTGCAGCCCTGGTCCAACACAAGTAAGCAAACCAAACTGCCAGATAAAAAAGGGGTAGACAAAATCAAATCAATATATCATTCACTAACTTTGAGGTATATAGGCAGGTAAACATACAAACAAAAGGTAGAAATAATTCAGTCAATGTAGGATGCAAACACTGGAAAATATATGTCTTGGACAAAAACATCCCCAGGAGAAATCCCAGCTTTTGCTTGCTGTTTCTAAAGTTTCTCGACCTGTGTCAGCAATATTGAAGTTATAGTACTTTTGTCTGTGACTACTTCTATATATGGTCAGCACAGATATTAGCTGGGATTTGCGTTTTTCCAAAGTAATCCCAGGCAATCAGGAGGCACTTAATCAGTATGAAAACCAACACGAGCCGATTCATAGCCCTGCACACGAGTCCATCTGGGTTTCTCTGCCCAAAGATTTACACAGCGAAGGGAATATGGCTAGTTCTGGTTTTAAGTAAACACTTGGGCTCTGCTTTAGGCACTCCTGAGGGTGCGCTGGCAGCGCACACCCTGCCCAGCGCTGCCTCCCCAAACTCCAGCCGCACACCAGCCCGCGCTCCGGCGCGCAGTCCCGAGGAGCCCCGTTCGCTGCCGAGCGGAGCGGGCACCGCACACCGCGGGGAGATCAGCCCTCTGCCCGGGCAGGCCGCGCACCGCCGCGCACCCCCGGCTGCCCCGGCGGGACCGGCCCGACCCCCGGCGACACGTCGAGCCCGGCTCCGGGCTGCGGGCGAGCCGCCACAGGACGGCATTCCGCGCCGTGCAGCCGCGATCCCGACCCCGCCGAGCCGGGGCGCACGGCGAGCGGGCGGCACCGCTCGAGGGGCGCAGCAGCCCCGGGAGCGGCGGCTCCGCAGGGTCCCCCCCGGGAGCGGAGCAGCCCCGCCGCGGCACGCGGAGCCCTCCGGCGGCCGCCGCCGCTGCCACAGTCACAGCCCCTCGCCCCGGCTGGACGGAGGGTTCCGCGTTTCCTCAGCCGCTTCGAAGCGGGGGCCGTCCGCACAACTTTCCCCGCGGCGAGCCCGGCTGCGCTCCCGGCCCGGGTTGCGCCGCACGCCGCTCCCCGCCGCTGACACCCGGGCACGCCGGGGAGGGCAAACACACAAAAAGCTCCTGAGACCCGCCCGAACCGGCATTTCTCCTCCGTCCTACCTGCCCGGCTGCCGGAGACCCCACACCGCCCGCTCCGCGCCGAGCGCTCCGTGCGACGCCCAGGTGGCGTTAGGAGCGCGCTTCCCACGGGCGGCGCGCCCCCGGCGGCCGGAACATCCCCGCCGGGCGCCGCCGGGAGGAGGGCGCTCCGCACCCGCCCGCGCCGCGGACACCGCCGACACCGCTGCACCTGTGCTGGGCGGGCAGCGGCGCCGCCCCGTCAGTGCCGGCCCGAGCGGGGGCGGGGGAACACCGGGACCGCTCGCCCCGCGCCCGCCGCCGCCACCGCCCTCCCCAGGCAGCCGCCGCCGCACGAGGGACCCCCCCATCGCCGCCGCTCCGTGCGCTCATTGGCCCGGCTGCCGTGACCTCACGGCGCCCGCCCCGCCCCGCCGCCGACCCCGGCCCGGGGCAGCGCTGCCGGGCGCGGCGGCACCGCCGGGGTGCGAGGCCGGGCCGCCCGACGGCCGCTCCCAGCTGCTGGGACACTGCGGAGAGCCGGCGGGCGGGGACGGGAGAGAGCGAGTGTGCCCGCGGCCCCCGCCCCGGGGTGCGCGGAGTTAAAAGCGCGGGGCTGCCAAAGCCGTCCCTCGCCCTTGCCAGCAACCTGCGAAGCAGCAAAGACTCAGACGAGGCTAGGTGGGAAAGCCTTCCGTCAGTCTGCGATGGTTTCTTCTCTCCTTTTTTTTTCCTCCTCCCCCCGCAAATTTTCCAACCTATTTTTATTGGTTTTAATTGAGACGTGTGAGCAGCTATTGCTTGAAGATTGTGGTCCATTTGTGGAGAGTAAATCATTCTCTGTTGCATATTAAATATGCCTCTTAATGAGACATCAAATCATATACCCTCATGTAGCTCTGTAATATATATTAATATGGTATTTATTCATTACTATCAACTTTTCAAAAGGTCTGCTTAAAATATTCTCCCCTCTCAGCTAATCATGGTATGCTACAAACTCATAGGAAGCCAAATAATTTATTAATATATGCTTATACTCAATTAAAACATGAAGAATGTAAGAAATCTGCATTTTAAGAGATCTTGTAGAAGTATGTGATAACTTACTGTGTCTAATTGAGGTGTTTCACATTGCCATGTTGCTTCTGTCATAAAATATTAATAAATTTAACTTGAACCCCTTCAACACAAAAGAAGTTCAGCATTTAGCAGTTGTTTTTGTGGGCAGCGTTGCTGGCTGCCAAGTTGCTATGGCATAGGGCAGCAGGGTGTGTTCTGCTTGCCTGTTTGTGTATTTCTTGGCTAGGTGGAAGAGAAAAGTTACAAAGTAGGGCTCTGGAGAACAGAAACAAAACAGCAGTGTATCCTTTCGAGGGCACCAATTCTCTGTTAATCTTATAAGTAATATTGTTTAGATTACCTACTACCTTCAGAACAAAATTTTAGAAGCCTGGGGTTGACTTTGCACCGTATGTGTTCAGTGAGGAAGAATCACCCACGTCCCTTGTCCTTATGCTGGGGTTTTCACAGAAAGTGCCACAAGATCTGTCATGATGGATGACCATGACCAGAGCCTGTGAAAGAATGTGTAAAATTCCAGGTATCTATTTTCAACACTTAGAAAGAAAATTTGTTAATCTGCCGGTTTTAAATTAATGCAATGGTAATTCATGACACTCTAAAAAAATACCTGTGGGATGAAAAAGCAAAACCCAAAAATTACTTACATATCAAAAAAACTAAGGTCTCTTCTTGCTGTGCAAAGATTCCCCTGCTTTTGAGCTCTGGGTATGTTGCTTCACTGCCTGCCTGTGCTTTTCTTTTTACCTTGCATCTCAAAATAGCTTCAGCAAAAGCTCTATCCCGTGTAATAGGAAGCTGGGGTTTCAGCACAGCTGCAAGCCCCTCTGAGTCGTCTCGGGTGACCCTTCACAGTGAGATTGTCCTTGGTGTCTCTGCACCTCAGCTGCCAAGGGCTCAGCACCCCCACATGTTGGAGATGAGCTCTCAGGATGCACCCCTGGCTTTTAAGATTATTTTAGAAATAGTGCATTTATTTTTGTGCCACTGAAGGTGTAGCTGAAAATTCGACCATCTTTTCCCTTTTGTCACTTGTATTAGCTGTTAAATTTGTGTAAGGGCTTCCCAGCTGTATGCGCACTAAATATAGATAAGGTAATTTTAGGTTGAGATCTTTATAATGCATAGAGGATTCATAAGGGGGAGGAAAACCACTCCAGATAGTAAATTATGTTATGATTAGACCAGTGTCAAAAAATGCATAGCTTTGTATCTACCATAGCTTCATTAATTTCTGAGGTTGTGGGTAAAGTCATCTATGTACATAATGTAGAATGTATTTTAGAAATGAATTTTAAGATTCAAAGCAAGCTGAGATCAGCTTGGCTTTGAATTTGCCATGTTTTAAGGCACATATCAATACTTTATAAATCATGGCTCTGTTGCCTAGTATAACTGTGTAACATAAATATATTTAACCTTGAGTCATGCAAAGGGAGCCTTTGAAGCAAGTGTATACACACTAAAATCAATGATCCTAGAAAGCCTGTATAGGACAATGTCTGTATAAAGAAGTCTCAAGGCAGTCAACGAACTGGTTAGGGATGCATGGGTATGGGAATAAATTTTGCAACAATACTGCTAAATAATACTCTTTACAGAAAATACCCATTGATTTTAACAAGCTCTTTATCTGAGAGGAGACCAGAGGTTTAAACCTGCACAGTACAGCTCCTAGGTCTAATGCAGGTCTTTACATTATATTCCTAAGAAGGCACAGAGATGGAGATGGCTGTTGGAGATTGTGTTGGGTTTTTTTGTTTAGTTTTGCTTGGTTTTTTTTTAAGTAGGAAATCTTACTTGGGTACTACTGTGCTTTTTGTGCTTGTGTTCATGACATTGCTGTTCCCAGAATTTGTGCATTCATTCTCTGGATACTCTGTGGTCATGTATTTGCAGATAAGATACAAAAAAAAAAGCTCATTAAGAAATCAATTGAGCACTCCTTGAAGTTATCCTTGAAGGACCTTCTTGAGTGACATCACTTCCTCGTCTGTGGTTTCATTCATTACATGGAATGTTTCATTCAGAAGATCAGATGATAAAGATCATCTTTTACTTTTTGCTCCTGCCCATTTTGTTCTTCTGGAACAGCAGATTCTAACATCTATAATAGTTAGGAACTTCTAATTTTAAGCTTTAATTTATTTCTGAGTACTTTATTCCCATTTGTCTTGCCTGATGATACTAGCCTGACTCGAGCTAGCTCACCATCCTCCTGTGTTTTAATGTCTTTATAATGTCCCCTCCATACTTTTGCTCTTCTAAACCTGTGCTTTCATAGGCTTGTTGTGTAAATGGGGTCCCTCTCTTCTCTGCTAATCCACACTGCAGTTTTGTATAGTCTTTTTGTTCGGTTTTTTTTTTTTTGTTTGTTGTTTGGATTGAGTTTCCTTCAATATAGGTGAAATTATATACAGTTTCTGACAAGGCGCTAAATACACCCAGTTAGAAAGAGCTCAGAACGGTGACAGTGCCCTAGACTGTAAGCCAGTGCCCATTCTGCTGCTTCCACAGCTCACTCATGTTGCTGACTAATAGCTACCTTCTGGACAAATACTATTGACAAAGATTTCTTTTGCTTCTTTTGTTTCCAAATGATAGTGCCCAGCTCACAACAGAAATTCCTGTGTTTAGCTTCTATGTGCACTCTGTGTACTTTCTGTTTTGCCTCACTGTCTTTCTCACTTTGTGCCTTACTGTGACCTTATGAGCACTCTGTTTTTTGGGGTTTTTTCTTTGGTCCAGTCACCAGATACTCATCAGTCGCCCCTGGCAGCACTTCTAAGCTTTGTCTCACCAAGACCCTCAGCTGGCAGATGCCTCACTTTGGCCAAGGCCAAGCAACTGCTGCTCTGTAAGGAATTTCACCAGCAGTGCATCTAGCCTGCTGGTCTGTCAACACAACACACCCCATTGTCTCCTCCTTGTCCAGTGCCTTACTGTATTGACATTCTTTTACTAATCCTCATCCTCTTCAGCTTAACTAACAGTTTCCCATGTGTCACTGTGCCAAAAGCTTTACTGAGCGCCAAGCAGATCAGGTCTGCAGAATTCCCCCTGTCAAGAAAATTATCTTGTATAAAGAAAAGGATCAAGTTAGGCACAATCTACTAAAACTGCCTCTTATCCAATTTTCATCATGTAAATCAGTGCAAACCACACACCACTCCATAAACTCACGTGATCCTTGAATTTAAGCAAAATAAAAGTCGTGCTAATGGCTCATGATCAGGGTCACACTAAAGCCAGCAACTACGCATAGCTGAAACAATAAGACACATTTCGTGCTGTTTTCTTAATACATCCAATAAATATGGTTTCATTCACGGTTCATAATGGTTCCAGAAAATGTCCAACAAAGATGACAGTAGTCCACAATTTTCCAAATGGATAATTTCAAACACTGTTGAATATAAGATCTGACAGTTTGTGAGGAAAACAAATACAAGCAGAAAAGCATGTTCAGATGGGGCCTTGTCTGTATAAAGCTAGTCTACTCAAGACAGCAATTCAAGTTCTAGACCAAATATTCACTAAAATGCTAATTTGGTTTTTGTAACACTTTGATTTCACATAATGAGAAACACATCCAAAACAATTAATTAATATTTTGAAGACATTTGTAAGCTTTATATCATTATTTCTTAATTGTGAAATGCATGCAGTAGCAATAGCAGATGTGACAATGAGGTAAATAGAAATGAAGGGCTTTTTCTTAACTTGATACAAAAAAATACATTTATCGCCTTCCTCTCCTGACACCTGTTAATGCCCAGCAGAAGTATGAATTGAGTGTGTGCTCATTTTAGCAGCAGCTCTTCCCTTTAAAAGCAGCTTTTCTGTAGCTTATTATGATTTCTCATACTCTTTACCTTTCTTGTTTTAAGCTTCCACCTCTTTCTGTGCTGGGAAAAGGCTCTTAAGGATTCCCCACTTCAGCCTGGGCAGAGCACTTTGTGCAGGATGGGTGAGAGGGAACTGCATGAGGTGAGGCTCCAGTGGCTTGATGGGGGAATTGGACTGTAGAACTGAAAGGGTGCAAGTCTGGGGCACCCTCGCTCACACAGATAAATTTCTGTCCTCAACCAGGCTATGCTGTACAAAATACAACCAGCCCTGCTTGGAGCCTGACAGCTTTGTGATAGGATCCATCATTTCTTTCCTTCTTCCCTAAATGTGGGTTGTTGTGGTTTTTTTCTCCTAGACCTTTTATTTTCTGCTATTTACTTTTCATTTCTCATAATGAGACCCGCATCCCTGCAGATGCCATAGATCCAGTCCATAATCATTGTTCAGGGTCAAAAAAAGAGAGAAGAAAAAAGAAACGAGTGTGAAGAGGAGGATTGTGCAGTCGTACTTGAGAAAAGGTGTTCTGATTGTTTTCAACAGCAAGTAGAAGCATTTGCAGTTATGGTGAGGGAAGAGTTTGCAATCAAAGTAGTGAGAAACTGGAAAGTAATTTTGGTAGAAACACTTTTCAAGGGCTTGTATTTCCATATTCTCTCAGGTAATGTGATCCAGAATGTCTTCAGTACTTAAAAATATTTTAGGTTAGGTAGGGGAAATAAAAACACTTTGTTATTTAACTTGAATACAAAACTAAATTTGTGAAATACTAGCAATTTTATCTTCTAGGCAACTTTTCAGAGTTACTAAAATCACTAATAAGGTATATATCAACCCCTAGACCACACAAAAAACTGAAACACACAAAATAAAGAAAACAAATTTAATGAGGTAGGAAGGCTCTCGGTGTCAATGAAGAAATGAAAAAAATAGATCAGCACCGGAGTCTCAAATCATCTCCTTTTGCAAAGCGAGTATGCACAGGCTGCTTAGAAAATAAAAGATACACTCAAAGCTGGTAGAGGAATGCAAAACACTTTTTCCCATGCAAAACACCTCTTTTTAGCATATAATCCCACCATGGCACTTCTCTGCTGCACACAATGTAAAAGGTACAGATTTGATGTGTCATTATGCAGTTGCAGGACGCTTAAACATTTCTGGTTACTGCAGACTGAGAGCTATTTAATACCACAGAATAAAAAAATATAGAGTTGAAAAAATAGAATGTCACTGTAGTAAAAGACAGATCAGTAACTCTGTTATGACTCAGTAGCTCACAATAAATTATTTAAACAACTTGAGCTCAAGAATGACCTTTCAGCCATTGCAAGGCAGGAAAAATATTTTCCTTTCTTAACCTCCACAATTCAAATTCCACTTCTTCCATCAAAATCAGAGGACCAAGATGTGGGAACTTGGTGATTAATCTCAGACTGTGAAGCCCTGAAGTGCCATCAATCAGGTGTAGATGGTGACTTGGTAATGGAAGCACTGGGAGAGGATCTGCTGAGCAGAAACCAGAGGCACATCATATTGCTTATCATAAATTTTGAAGCATTTATGACAGAATATTTAAAATTGATAAATTCTTCAGTGGTTTTGAACAACTCAGGTCTTGAAGCACATACTTTAATCAATTCTAAGTTATAAAGGTAAACTTTAGGTACATATTATTGTAGTGCATTTTACAGACATCCAAACACATTGGAAATTTGTAGGTCAAGCTCCATTAGCTCAGAGTATCTACACATCTGCATCCCTTTGAAATCTGACCTACTTCACCTGCTTTTCACAATAGGCCGTGCACTTGTGTCAAACCAGGGTTTAGGAGTCTCCTTATCTCGTCTGCCAGGTGCGGACAGCGAGGTGCAGGCAGGGAGGAGCCACAGGAGTTTCTGTGCGGGGCGGCAGGGGCTGCCCCAGCTGGGCACAGCCCATTCCAGCCCATTCCAGCCGGGCACAGCCCATTCCAGCTGGGCACAGCCCATTCCAGACCATTCCAGCTGGGCACAGTCCGTTCCAGCCCATTCCAGCCGGGCACAACCCATTCCAGCCAGGCACAGCCCATTCCAGCTGGGCACAGCCCATTCCAACCGGGCACAGCCCATTCCAGATGGGCACAGCCCATTCCAACCAGGCACAACCCATTCCAGCCGGGCACAGCCCATTCCAGCCAGTCACAAACCATTCCAGCTGCGCACAGCCCATTTCAGCCCATTCCAGATGGGCACAGCCCATTCCAGCCGGGCACAGCCCATTCCAGCTGGGCGTAGCCCATTCCAGCCAGCTCCAAGGTGCCACTGCAGGGTTCGCCTGAGCTCTGCCGCCGTGCTCCGGCTGCTTTCAGGAAAGCGTGCTTCAGAATGGGCCAAACACATTTTTTTTTTTAATGATGAAAAATCTCAGGATTTTTTGCTGGTCGCTGTGACCCTGAGAAATTTAAAAAGTCTTTTCCCAGTCCGAGTGCCTGAAGAATGAGTTGGAGCTCTTCAGTTCTCGGTCGCAAGGATGTTTATTGCATCTTATCTATAAAAGTTTTTCTCTTGCCCTGCCCAGCAGGACAGTTCCAGGCACACTGCCTGCCCCCAGGGTGGTGTTATGTCTTTATACTAAAAACTACGTATATAATGTTTACAATTACTTTCCAATACCTATCACCTATGTTAGCCAGTGAGCTTCTACTCTAAACCAGTCTAAAAGTGCCAACATCACAGCAGAAGATGGAGGCCAAGAAGAAGAAGGAGAAAGGCTGGACACCCCCAGATCCCTCCATCTTGCCCCCTAGGCCCCCATTCCAGAAACCCCAAAATCTACTTTTTCACCCCATGATAACACCGCTATTATTCTACTTAAACTGTTGCGGCTTGCTGATCTTCATATACGGTTGGTAATTTGATCCACGGGTCATAATCAAAACCACAGGTGTTTTGGTCTCTGTGCCTGGGCTTCTGAGCCCCCTGGCAGGAGTCCTGGCCATCCTGGACAGCCAGAGGGATGTCCTGGGTTCCCACAGAAAAACAGCAAAATTCACAGCAAGGAGGGAGTAGCAGGATGTGGGGGAAGTTGCTCCAGGCACCAGAGTGTGGTTTCCCTGCAGCCCCTGGGGAGGGTGAGCAGCGAGGAGTGCAAAGGGGCTGGAGCAGCACAGGAGAGCTGCAGCACACCAACCACGATCCCCATCCTGACCCTCTGTGCTGCCCGGCACTGGGGAAAGGGAGCGGAGCTAGAAATGAAGGAGTGAAGTGGAGCCTGGGGGAAAAAAAGTGAGAGGTGGTAGGAAGGTGTTTTGATTTCTGCCCTTTATTTCTCACCATCCAACACTGTTGCTAATTGGCGATAAGCTAAATTAAAACTTGACAAGTCAAGTGTGCATTGCCCATGAGGGTACGCAGTGAGTGGTCTCTCTGTTGTGACCTGCAAGCTTTCCATTTTATTTTCTCCTCCCTTCTTGCCTAGGAGGGGATTTAGGAGAGAGCCGCTGCAGCTGTCTGGCAGTTGTGCAAAGTAAAGCCACCAGGTCCCTACAGCTGAATTTGAAATGCTGCTGGGCGTTCTATGTGGACAGCCACAATGGTGTATTCACAATATGAGGAAAAGCCAGCACATCTAGTGGCTTATTTGGTGCTGTTTGGAAGAATACCTTGGAAGAATGAACTTCAGTAGTTTTGGGGGAGCAAAAGTGAATTCTAGTGAGTGTCATACAAATATAAATTAATTTATCTCTAGTATCTCCACATTTGAGTTCTGTTTAAGCAAAGAAGATTCTAATGTTTGACAGGTTTAAGAAAATTACATGCTGTTTCTGTGAGTTAAAAAATTGTTGGGGTTTTTTGTTGTTGCTTTTTGGTTGGTTGGTTGGTGTTTTTTCCTCCCAGAGATAGTTTTTTCACTAATGGAAATTGATTGAATCCAATTCTCATATTGAGAATACACTGTGGAATTTCTTCAGTGAAGTATCAAATGAGTTTGATACTTCTTCACATTGCAACAAATCAGCACTCTGCCAATTCATGCAACTCCGTCTTTCAGATGTAGATACTATTTCTTGATCATTGACCTGGAAATTTTTCTAAAACTGTGTGTTTGCTACTCCTTATTTTAAATAATTCACTTTCCTTTATTTTTGCTAGAAACAATGAAAAAAACCCCATAGGAATATTTTGAAAGTGTAGTGGTTTGCACAGAAATTGTGAGAAGGAGAAAAAGGCTTTAGAGGAATCAGTGTGAAATGTGCACTAAAGTAGGTCTACACATAGAAAATCTGTCGTTATGTGACTGCAACTTTAGCCAGGCTCTTAGCACATCAGCAAAATATTCTGTGATAACAGCAGATATCAAAACATGGGAACTCTTCACATTGGCACCTAGAACATGATATATGAAACCCAATAAATATAATAAAAAGTGTGGTTAATTTTGAGAGCCTTAAGATTGGAGGCTGTAGATTTGAAAGGTATAATGTTTTGATAACAATGCATAATATTGGCTATTTAATACTCATATATCTTCCATTTCCATGGTATCAAAATAGTACAATATTGCTAAATGGCAATGGTGATGTTGGATCCTGAAGGATCCTGAAGTTGTACAAGCTTTAGCAAATGCTACTTGTATCTGCAAATGAAACAGTGAGAAGGAGAAACAACATGGAAAAGTACAAACCAATTTTATCCTGTGTATCCACAAAGTAGAAGATGATGGGAATGATGACACCAAGCTGAGTGGCTCAGTTGACACACCTGAAGGACAGGATGCCATCCAGAGGGATGTGGACAGACACAAGAAGTGGTCCTACAGGCATCTCATGAGGTTCAACAAGACCGAGTGCAAGCACTGGGATTGGGGCAACCTCCAACATCAATAAAGGCTGAGGCATAAACAGGTGGAGAGCAGCCCTGAGGAGAAGGACTTGGAGTGAGGGTGGTTGAGAAGCTGTACATGACCCAGCAGTGTGTGCTCACAGCCCAGAAACCAAAGGTGTCCTGGGCTGCATCCAAAGCAGCGTGGGCAGCAAGGCAGGGAGGGGATTCTGCCCCTCTGCTCTGCTCTCTCTGCTCTGCTCTGCTCTGGTGAGAGCCCACCTGCAGGGCTGCATCAGCTCTGGGGTGCCCAGCACAGGAAGGACATGGAACTGTTGGAGAGATTCCAGAGGAGGCCACCAAGTGGATTAGAAAGATGAAACAACTCTCCTGTGAGGGAAGGTAAAGAGAATTGGGGTTGTTCAGCCTGGGCAAGAGAAGGCTTCGGGGCTTAATTTCAGCCTTCTGGTACCTGAAGGGAGCCCACAAGAAATATGGAGAGAGACTATTCACAAGGGCATATATAGTGACAGGAAAAGGGGAAATGACTTCACACTGAAAGAGGGTAGGTTTACATTAGATATTAGGAAGAATTTTGATTCTATGACTCTATAAAAATTCCTTGTATATACTTTCAAAGTTTGAAGGCAGTCTGGCAAAACAGAGAAAATATTAATTGCCTTCTAATGTTCATTGCTTGCACATTCCAATCTTCAATCATCTTGTGCAGTATCCTTTTCATCTGAGTGAGGCTAATGCAGATATCTGGGAAGCTGGAGCTTGAGAGAAGTTTATTTCTTCTAAAATGAGTACCACTGAATACACGAGATAAATTCATACAGCATCAAGAAATATTAATGGAACACATTTGGCACTGTTCCTTAGCTTCTCCAAAAGCGGACATTCAGGAAAGGGAAATGTGCCACCTGGCCACCTGAAATTCCTGTTTTCTTTCACACAAAGCAATTTACAGAAAAGGGAGGCAAAAATCCCACTCTGGAGACGCCTCCTTTTTTACCCCTCAGAGATTTTTCTGTGGGTTTCTCTGTTTTGCCTGCCCCTGCCTGGGAGCATACAAGTGAGTACACAGTGACTACAGCCTTTATGCTGTGCTGTCACTGTGCACCAGCTGCCTGTTATTCAAGGAATGTTGTAAAACATCTCGGGGAGTCTGTGACTAACACAATTTCAGTAAGGATCCAGACAGAGGCACTAGAGCAGGAGTTAATTAGCAGCCTCCCAGCAGCACCAAAGTGAAATGGGAAGAGTCTGTGTTTAAAACCCCACCACTCCTCCAATCCACATAATTCACATTCATCACTCACTGTACAAAAGCAGCCACTTAAATCTTTGATTCTCTAAGTGCAAAACCAAAGAAAGGCAAATCTTTTCATATGCTTTGTAGTACCAGCTGCTGTACTGTCCTTTTACAGCTAATTAAAACCACATGATTTTCCAATTCACTTGGTGCAGAAAAATGTGTATTTTGGTGGTATATCATTTCAAAAGAGCACGTCTTGCTGCAGATTAGAGAGCAATAACTTGAGATCCTGTTAAGATCTGAAAAAAGAGTGAACAATTATGGTTGGCCTTCATCCTCAGGAGCCTTTAACAAATTCTCATAAAAGTCCCCTGAGGTATAGTTAGATGCCATCTATGCAGCAAAATCCCTGCAGCTGAGCAGTGTAGGAAAAGGATTTGGCAGCTTCCCTAAGATATGTATATTCAAGTGGAAATTATTCAGAGGGAAAGCTTTGTCTGTATGGCTGAAGTTATTTCCAAGTGGGCCAGCAATGTGCTGGTTCCAGGACTGAGGCAGCAAGGAGAAACTCTTGAAAGGAAAGACAGAAAGAGCAGGAATATTTTTTTCATTAGTTCATGGGTTAATAAATCAGTGTTTGTGATCTGTTTTGAGGGCTCTGAATAATAAAAGGCAACCTTTAAGTTCTGAAATCCTACTCTTCTGAATTTGCAGTATAATTTAATTTGTGAGAATTATGCAGCCAAAAGGTTCACAAATCAAGTTGTTGGGGTTTTTAAACAACTTACAGTTTGAGGCTAATTAGCTGCTTCAGAGTCAGTAATGGATTTTTCATACATTTTCTATGTTCATATTTATATTCAAAAACCATGCCCATAAAATAATGTATTCTTCTGGGGCATTCCAGCAGAAATTTTAATCAGTTAGGAAAGTTGATTAAGAAACTAACAGATTTGAAAAGCACTTTGCACTAATGCAGATTAAGATTCAGGCAGAGGATGCGCCACAGTTTATATTAAAAAAAAACCCCAAACAAATAAAGATGGAACTTTTTCCTTATTATTCCTTTTCTTTTTTTTTTTTTTTTTTTCTGTTTTCTGTGCTTGTTGTAATTTGACTGATCATAAATTCCAAATGCCCAGACATTTCATTTTTGCTCATAACAAACTCTTCTCAAAGTTTGCTGGAGAACTTTTTCTATAAAATATTTTTCATCAGGATAACACATCTGAAAGAGAATATTGACAATTTCCTTTTTCTGAATCCTGAGAATTTTAAGAAGTGCAAGCCAATGGTTATGCCAACACACAGATGAATTTATTACATGCTAGTGTTGAGCATGAATCACGCTGATAAATGTAGGATTCTACTGTGTATATTTTGTAAATATTTGGTTTAATTGTTTGTGAAGCCAAGGC